CTTTTCATGGCCCCACCCTCATTCATGTTCGCATCCTGCCTCACATATCGTTGGTGACAGACTTCTGCTTCTGATTGTTGCTTACGAGGCAGTTATCTTGGCCCCCAAAAGTAAGGCAAACCTCCCTTTTGGACGCCCAAAAATAGGGACCCTGGTTTTTTAAGAAGCCTCCCAGCGCGTCGTGTAAGGAGCTGAAAAGCCAACGTGACCGCCTGAAGGGACAGCCCCGCGTTTTTCCCGCAGGCTACATTTAAATACGGCCCGGCATACTGCACAGGGTGTGGTCTACAGTACCTTTCGGATGCAAGATCTGGAGCTCGACAGAGTCGGTGGGACTCATGCTTTAGGGCCTGCCGCCGCCTTGAAAGACGCGCAATGGTTAGAGGCAAGACTGCAAGATGCAATGCTCGGGCCTTCTTCTGGCCGTCCAGCTGCGGCTTGACAAAAGCATGCAAGCCGATGTGCCAGAGGAGATGTAAGCCTGTGGTTGCAGTTGCCGGTGCCATGTTGTAGTGTGGCGCTGTGGCTGCGGCTTGTAGGTAGGTAGGCAGGCAAGCAGGTAGGTAGGTAGGTAGGTAGGTAGGCAGGCAAGCAGGTAGGTAGGTAGGTAGGTAGGTCGGTGGGTGGGTAGGTAGGTTGGTAGGTAGGTAGGTAGGTAGGTAGGTAGGCAGGTTGGCTGGCTAATTAGTTCGTAGGTCGGTCAATCAGTTGGTGATCTAGTTGGTTGGTAAATTGGTTGGTTGGTTGATCAGTCAGTTGGTTTTGTCAGTTGGTGTTCGGCAATTCTTCAGTTTTTGGTTATTTAGGTAGTCAGTCAGCTAGGTAGGTAGGTAGTTGGTTAGTTAGTTGCTTGGCTAGTGAGGTGGTCACTTTGATTGCTTGTTGGTTAGTTAGCTTGTCTGCATGTTTGCTTGTTCGTGAGTAAGTCAGACAGTCGGGAAGTGAAGCGATCGGTCAGTCGCCAGCATGGAAGGAAAAGAGAGGAACAAGGCTGCAGCGAAGTAAGTAAGGTAAGCCGCAACGGAAGCAAGTTAAAGTAAAGCAAGGCAAAGCACAGAAGCAAGCATACACGTGAAACCCGAAGTACCGTAATGCAATGTGCGGTACTGTAAATACATGCACGGCAGGGTAAACTACTGACAGTATTGCAACAATGTGAAGTAATGTAAAGTCATGCGAAAACAATGCGTAATGCAAAGTTATGCCATGCAGAATCTTGTAAAGTAGAGTATGCCCACGGAAGGTAAGGTAAGCAAGTAAGTCGCAAAGTCAGGAAGTCGGTCGGTCGGTCCGTCAGCCAGTCAGTCACTCAGTCAGTCACAAGGTAAGTACGGAGAACTACTAGTACTACCAGTACTGCTGGTAAGACTGGTACTATTGGCAAAGGTAGAACTCCTAGTCTTGCTAGTGCTTCTGGTACGACTAGTGCTCCTAGTGCAACTATTTGTACATGCAGTGGTAGTAGTAGTAGTCGTCGTCGTCGCAGCAGTGGTAGTAGTGGTGGTGGTGGTGGTGGTGACAGGCGTAGTAGTAGTAGTGGTAGTCGTCGTCATCGTCGTAGTAGTAGCAGCAGTAGTAGCAGTGGAAGTAGAAGTAGCAGTAGCAGCAGGAGTAGCGGTGGTGGTAGTGGTGGTGGCGGTGGTGGTGGCGGTGGTGGTGGTCGTTGTTCTCGTGCTTGCCATGGTTGTCGTGCTTGTCGTGATTTATTGTCGTGCTGTGATATTTTCCTTGTCATCGTGGTGGTCCTGATCGTCGTCGTCGTCGTTGTTGTGGTCGTCGTGATGGTTGTCATTGTTGCTGTCATTGTTTAATCTACAACTAATATTACATTACAAAGATTATTAACCTAAAAATACAATGGAATTCCAAGATTTGGGGTGTGCTTCGTTTAATTTAATTAATCACGCATTCCATTCGTTCCACTCTTTTCATTTGTATTAATTAATTAAAAGGAACCACAGACCCAATATTCTCTTCACAAATTAATAAAGAACGAAAAGAGCACATTTTTAATTGAACAAAAACAAATGAAATAATGCGTGTTTTGTTCCAATTAAAATTGGGTTCTTTTCCCCTTTGTTCACCTTTGTTCTTTGGCTTTTTCACGCTTCACTTCGTTCCTCGTTCCATAGAAAAAGCCAAATACAAAGGGAACAAAGGACCAAATTACTTTTGCTGTTACTGTTGCTGTTGCTGTTGCTGCTGTTGTTGTTGTTGTTGTTGTTGCAGTCGCGTGTTCGTCGTCCTGGTCCTCGTCCCCGTGTTAGAATACGGAGTATCCGGCTTTCGCCCTTGTTTCCTAGGCCTGTTTGTTTCTTGCTGCTGGACTCCCCGCGCGTGCTTCGTGTTTATGTTGTTGTCTAGCTTCTTCAGTCCTTCAGCGACTGGAAAATAAGCCCAGCAAAGACATGCGCGATTAGTATAGGGGTCTAACAAACTACCAGTTACCGGTTACCAATACTACTTTGGGGGATTCCTTACTATATAAGATTATAGTAACTATAGAGTATAGTATAATATACCCGAAAAAAGATATAGTAACTATAGTAAAATACACTCGGAAAAACCGTATTCTAATTATTAAGGCCCCGATATTCGACGATGAGTCCCAGTGGAAAGTCATTCACGATGGCGGCCACAAGAGGGGAGTGCTCCAAGAGCTGCTCTTAACCCGTTTGGTTTTGGGGGTTTTGGGTTTAGAGGTTTTGGGGTTTAGGGGTTTTAGGGGTTCAGGGGTTTTAGCGGTTTTGGGGTGTAGGGTTTAGGGGTTTAGGGATTTGGGGTTTTGGGGTTTTGGGATTTTGGGGTTTTGGGGTTTTGGGGTTTGGGGTTTTGGGGTTTGGGTTTAGGGGTTTGGGGTTTTGGGGTTTGGGGGTTTTGGGTTTCGGGGTTTAGGGTTCAGGATGGAGAAAGCTCCTCCATCATCTTTCCGTCCGCTGCCTTTCAAGAGTCCAGGATCATGGACAGACACGACACTTGTCAGCATGCACAGCTGCACTGGTACAGTAGCACTTTGGCACGTGTTCGCGCTTCGAAACTGTGGAAATCAGAGCCCTCCTTGAGCGCCTGAGCGGTTGGATGAGAATGTCATTCGATCAGGCGCGCTGTCGGGAGGGCAACAGGTTGCGGTGTCGGGGTTCAGGGTGCCGGGTGTGAGGTTTCGGAGTAGGGCAAAGGTTTGCAGCTGCGGGAAGAACTGATGGAGGGAGCTCAGCCGTGCTACGAACCAAGCTTCAGGAAAGTTGCAGGCCCCTGGATTTGTCCGTGACGATGCTTCATGCTTGCCAGGGCGATCTTGGTCAGCAACTTGATGACGGAGCCACTGCCATCATGCTGAGGCGGAGATTGTGAAGCTGCAGCCGGGGAAGTTCAGATTTCGGAGCTCGTGCCGAAGCCAGAATTAAGGTTGAGGATGGCGTGTTTGCTGCGCTTGTTAGGGTTTTTCATTTTGCAGACTTCCGTGATCATGCTCGGCTTTTCATGCAATGAGCACCGCGCTCTCTTTCAGGTCAGCACAGAGAGAGGGGAACCTGGAAAATTAGGCTTGGGAGGGTCAGAGTTTAGGTCCTCAACCCGAAACCTTAAAGCTAGACTCTAAACTGTACTTGACGGGATGTACAAAAAGGGTTCCGACCAGTGTTCCACAAGGTTTCGACAAAGGTCTCATTCCCCTTACTATGAGGTACACACTGCCGAGTTCTTCTGTTGGGAGTAACGAGAATCAGAATTGGTTAGGTTGCCTTCGGGTCCCATCATTTACACAGGATCTGCCGGGCGCCGTACCTGGAAGGAAAGATGTCTGACAAGTTCACACCAAATGGACGACCTGTTGGCTCGAAATCTCTGACTCGTGCCAATGCTTCGAGGAAAGCATTGGCCGTGCTCCTGAATCCCGTCGCTTGAGCCAAGGGTTTTGTCAGCTTTTCATGCATCCCGCCAGTACTTCGTGTAAGTATCTCGTGACCGTCACCTGGTGATGTGTTGGTGCTCTCTTGGTGGTGTTCTGGGTAGTCGCCGGGTGGTCTCTTGGGTTCTTCTCGGTCGTAGTCGTGGTAGTCCTGGTGGTCCTGGTCCTGGTCCTGGTGGTGGTCGAGGTCGTTTGGGCGTCGTGGTCGCAGTCGTCGTGGTTGTCACGATCACGTTTGAGTCTCTAAAGTCGTTCCCCACCCCCTGGAACAAACAGCACTGAACCCAAAAACCGTTAAGCCTCGAAGTGTTAAACACCGAAATCCCTAAACCGCTCCAAACCCCCAAGCCCCGTATAGTACCCTCATTCTAGGAACCTCTGCCGTGGCCGAGCTTCGCACAGGCGCTTGCCGTCCAAGCTGATGATCGAGAGCTTTCTGGACATTTTAAACCAATTCTGGCCAGGCCATCGGCGAAAGACCCCAATCTCTAAAACCATAAGTGATAAGCCCAATGCTTAGGGTTGAGGGTTTCCGAAACCCTAATACTAGGTAGGGGACAAGGCATCTTAAGTGTTTGGGCTATGGTTTTTTGCAGCTATTCCTGGCCTTTGCCACCAACATTGATGTCGGGTCTTTCATCCATCGTGGTACCCGGTGTTGCTCCTAGAACACAAAGGCCCCAAACGTGCACACCGAAGAGGCAGCAATTGTAAACCCTGAAAGCCTAATCCCCGAAGCCTCGAACCCCAAAGGGAGGAGGTAGTACTGAGGGTGGACCTAATTTGATCTGAGTACGCCCGATAGTCAGTGAGGTGAGATTCTGTTGGGTTTTGCTTCAGCACGACGGCGTGTCTAAAAGTCGGGGTCTAACACTAGGCCTCCTCAGAGTGGGCATTCCCCCACTGGGGCCCCTCATATTTCGAAGCCCACATGTGGTTTCGGATATTGGAGCGAGGTTTAGGATTGGAGTGGTCGAGGTACTATAGGGGATTTGGATATTCGAGCTTCCTACAGTACATCAGCTGGCCGAAGGACTTTGGTAGTCCTCCCACTTCACCCAGTCCTCGGTGGCCCGTATTTTGTCAACGGGAGGCCGCTACAACTTCGTGTACGTCCCCCATGACAAGTCACGGCAACGGAATGTGGCGCTGGCCTTCGTCAATTTCACTGACAGTGAAGCGGCTAGGTGCACCGGCTCGTGTTAGCGCTTTGCTCAGGCAGATGGGCTCAGGGGCTGCTGTAGCAGTAGTAGTAGTAGTAG